ATTGATTTTGGCTGATTTTGGGCATCGGGAAGAAAAAAATTTGTGAAAAAAACACTAATTGATTTAACAAACTTAAACTGATATTTTTGTAACTGGTGCCCTAAGAACTTCATTCTGGGCGAGTTTGAAGAAATTTCATTTTTTGGCTATTTCCTGGTTTAGTTGATATTTAGGCGGAGCTGCTCTTAATAGCTGATTTGTGATCAGTTTTCAGAATTCAACAAATAAAGTGAGACTCTTTGAAGGACGCGACGTGTTCGTGGATCGTACCTCATTACAAAGTCTCATTCAAAAAGTGCACAAAAAAAGGTCCGCTATTTTTGTTGAAGAAGTTAGTACCCTTGGTTTTCTCGACTGAAGAATTGGCAAACTCTTGCGGTCAAGGACTGGTGCAAAAAAAGGAAAAGGCTAATGAAAACCCCAAGTCTCTGCTGGATTCACAGAAAGTTGCCATTTGCAAAGGTGAGCATAATGACTTCAGATTTTCTAACAAACATTTCAGATAATAGGTTTTAATTGTTCATCTTTTGCAATACATCTATCGTGGTTAATAATGCTTCTTCCTATCAATTTACCGTAGCAACATCTATCAGGATATCAAAACAACAATGCTACAGCTGTAACCGACATTCTGTTTGGTATCCTTGTTCTGATATTTTGGTTTCAAGGAAGACTTTAGTGTTTTCAAACTGGCTTAAATTGAAATCTGTGACAAGAGGAGAGGCATAGCGAAACTGTTGGAAACCATCAAGACATTAACTCACTTAATTGTATGTATATGCCAGTTTTTAAAGTGGGAGTTTCACACATAATAGCTGGGCTCACAATAATGTAATACAAAACAATTAACACGTAAAGTTACAAGTCATCAAGGTCAGCAATTACATTTGGGAAATTGTCCACTACAATTTCACTAAAAATCATATCCATCACAAAACTATTTTCATGGAATTAACGGTAAATACATTATCTTGCAGTTCTTCAGGTCGCCATAATGCAAAGCTTAATATTATCTATTCCTTTGTAAAATATCAATTGTAAAGAATAAAACCTTCCATTATTATTCACCACCTCAATGGATTCATTACTTCATTTGCAGAATATATAACAGCCTTTTATCTTGAACGAGAGAAAGAGGGACAAGCTGCAAACATGGCATTACCAACTGAAGCCCAAATAAATGAGACATTTACTCAACAAGTAATGTATGCAAGGGTGAAGCTTCAAAGATCAGCAGCATTAATTTAATCGACTCTTCTTCCCATCTTGAAGGTTCTAAATCCCACGGCATAAAATCAACCTAAGGATGATCCAGTTTTCGATAGTTATTTAGTTCAGTTGTTTGTTGTGAAAATGTTACTCTTGACTATGTTCTAAATTGGAGGACCATTTCTGAAATGAAACGATGACACTTTTGAAAGATAACTTTCCAATTTTTGAGTACTTATATTCATAACCCATGAACCGAAAATGTATATTCAATCTTATTTTCAAGTTTGGCTGTTTTCTGCTAATCTGCCATTCAGATTATAACAGCATCATGCCACTAGTAGAAAAACAATACAAAGTCATGGGTGACGACATAGTTTGTTTGTCTGATTGCACATATCTTGCTTACCAATGTCGACCATCCTTTCTAACATAGCTTCTTTTAACCAAAAAATGGCATTGAAGGTTAAGTCATTCACGTATAGCAGCGTATAGGGTGAGTGCGACATCAAGATTATTGCACCACGTAAATGCACTCGTCATCGCGGCCATCTCAGCCCTGTTCGAGGCGATGAACAATGTGTGTTCAAACCATAGCATTGCTGTTTTGGACTTGCAAAGAAGCTGTTGGACTGTCAGCTGTATGGATAATGTGTAAAATTTTGCTGGGATTGAGTAACAGCCAATAAAGGTACGCACAGTGTTCTAACGCTAGGTAGTCAGCTGGGATCATCTGGTGGAATTCACAACTCGCTGGTCTGCACATCTTGCTGATCTTGGCAAGCAGATTCGACTGCTTTGTAGGTACAAATCCTTTATGTTATTCAAACTTCATGTAATTCACCTCAAACAAACGTCCACAAGGGAATGAAAGCCCAAGGCGGACCCAAGCGAAAGGCCCGAATCGAAAGCAACATGCATAATATATCAGGTGAGTAGCCAGTGACAGACGTAAAGCAGTTGTGAGTGCACAGCACGTGAGGAATGTACATTCTTTCCATATTTCGTTTTATCAGGTAACTTGCGAATGACGGATGTCACATTAAGCAGAACCTAGTTAACCCAACAAAGAACCTAACAAAAGCCTAACATTTCTTACATATTTTCATTTCAAATTCTGATAAATGTAAAACAATACCCACTTGAGAACGTAAATGTTACTGTAACAA